AGAGAGAGAGAGAGAGAGACGCACGCACACAGACTGACTCACCTTCCAGAAGCTATCCACTTTGCCATACACAAGGGACTGGTTCTGCCTCTTGATTTCGTTAATGTGATGGATGTCGCTGGAGTTCAGGTGCTGCTCCACCACAAACCCCAGGAAGCTGTTGTCTGGGGTATGAGCTGATGTGGAAAGGGAAGGGCAGGGCAGTTAGGATTTCATCAGCAAGGAGAAACAATTACCAAGTTAATACAAGCCATCTCGCACATGATTAGGTGTTTTCATTTTACCCTTCTTTCCTACCTGGGAAGGGCGAGGTATTGATGGCCTGCTCCCACATATGCCCAGCAAAACCTTCACATGAGAATACTTCTCTTCAGGATGGATTCACCCGAACCAAATCCTGAGCCAAATCCTACTTTTTTTTTTTTCCAAGTGGGAAATACATCTGTCTGAAAAGCATTCATCTATGGCTGTCTTCCTTCCTCAGACAGAACAAGGCTACCGTTTCCTGACAGGAATGCCCTCATCTGTGTTTTGCCTACAAATAACCAGAAATTTGTAGAGAGCAGGGCTGAATCAATGATCCTCAATAGGGGCAGGGGCGCTGTGGGTGAGCCTCATATAATCTGATCTGACTCCAGCTGTTTTCGCCCCCTCCCCCTTCCCCATGGGTAAAAGGGGATTTGGAGGCAAAACCAAGCAACATCACCCCAACCATGTACCTCTTCTAAGAATTGCTAATGAAAGGTGTAATTAGGGGGCTATATTGAATTGATGGGTGCAATGAAGAAAGAATGAAACATGAAGTTCACTGGGATGTACCCACCCCAAAAAAGCCATCCACTGCAAAGAACGGTGCAAGTCTACAGAATGACTATTCTGGAAGAGAAAAGGTGTTTTTCTCTGGACCTCTCATCATCTGAGTTCTAAAACGTCTCTATTTTAACACTTGACCAAGAGGGGAAGCAACCCCATACCCTCATCAAACACTTGTCTCTTGGGCCTATAATTTTAATAGACATTTCACCAGAAGGCAACAATCAGAAAACAATTCTCTCTTGATGAAAAAGAGGCCCTCCTCTCTTATACATTCATTCTGTCCAGAGAAATCTGTTTTTCGGACTAAGACCCTTCAGATGACCCCACAATATCAAAAGGAGCCACCGTTCAACTTGGCTCTGACCTGAACAGAACAGCTATAAATAGCTTACATAAAGAGCTACTTGACATTCAGTAAAATCCACACAGTGCATATTCATTCAACACAACCATATTCATTCACAGGTGGGTGGTCAACAAACGAAGGAAGCTGGCCCCTTTGTGTGGTTCTGGTTTTCTCAGGACTCGGAAGCCCTTTCCCAGGCAAGAAGCCAGCACAAAAGCCCTTTGAGACGGGCAGAGGCGGGCCTGCCAGAGGCCTAGGAATCTGAAACCCCAGGCCCTGCTCTCCAACACCCCGAGTGAAGACAAGGAGGGGACACTGGCAGAAAGCCCTGAACTGTGGAGATGAACGAGCTGCGTAAATACTGTGTTATCACCATCCAGTCTCCCGGGCTTTTTGCCTGATGGGGGTGACAGAACGAGGAGATAATAGGGTTGTGACTGGGGAGTTGTGTTAGGTCTCGTCAATCTGTTATTTCATTTCTACATTTTTGAACAAGTGCCCAGAGGCAATGGCATTGGCTGCACTTGGCTGGAAAGTAAATTACTGAATAAATTCTACTGCCAACAAGAGGCAAGCATGGCTTCTTTTTTTTAAATTTTCTGAGGAGCTGGGGTGGGGGAGAAGATTTTAAGACATATGGGATTGGGCGGGTGGGTTGGAGGGGGAAGCCTGCCTGCATTCTAAATGTCAACAAGGCAGCTTTAAATATTCCTTTGTAAAAGTTGGTTAATTGTAAAAATTTTGAAATAGGATCCGACATTTTTGAGGTCGTGTTTTCTATCTTCAGAAAATGTACGTGGTGACTAAAGCTTCATGCTTTGATATCTGTCTCTGCAATTCAGCAATCTAGTTCCTATGTGGGCACTTAAAAAAAAAAAGAAATAATCTAGCATCTACAACACTTAATAGGTCTTATTTTCATGTTATAATACACACAGGTGTAGTAAAAAATAAAATGATCGTTAAACTCACAAAAGAAAAAATACCTATATATGTATATATTTTTTTGTGTCAGATTCTCCTAGTTTATATTTGAAATGTGAGAAGGAGGGGGAGTAAATAATCTTTTCAAAAACTTGTGAGAAGTGGCAGGCTTTTGCTGCATCATGACTATAATCTGGTACTCAGTCAACTTTGACACTGTAGGAAGAATGAATTAAACATACGAGCTCTACCTCTGTCTAAGTTTTCATCCGAACACTTTATTTCAACTCCTCTCTCTTGTCTGGAGATGTTAGCTTGAGACTTGACAAGCTGCAAGTTCAGTTTAAGGGCCTCAGATGAGACTGAGGAAGAAATACCGGCAGTGCTTACAAATGGTACCGCCATATTTCATGAGCGCTGGTCAGACCCTCCAGGCTTCTTCCTGGTAACACTGAACCTGTCACAGGACACTGAGTGTCGGCAACATGAGGAGTCACTCAGGAGTCACTCAGCTGCGACTCGCCCAACAGGTGATTTGAAGGGCCTGCGTTTACTTCCAAGGAGCCAGCCAGCAGCTGTGTAGCTGCTTGGCAATATCCTAAAACTGCTTATGAAAAAACAAAATCCGCAAGTACAGGCTGTCACTATCTGAAATGACCTTTCTGTGGAGACCTACCCTTACACCAAGCTGTCTTTTGCTCCGATGTAAGATGGGGGAACACAGACTTTAGTGGTATCAGGAGGGTTTCAAAAAGAAGGTATTTACATTTCAAGGTAAATCACATAAATTCCATCATAAATGGGACACAGGAAATCCTGTACTTCTGGAAATCACTCCATCCCAGGAGACAAACAAAGGTGTCTTTAAAAAATGGCTGATACTTGAGTTCTGACTATGTGCTGAGTTCTGTGCTAAGTGCTTTACAGTGAATGTTTCATTTTATCTTCATGACAACCTGATAATATGTTTGTAGGGATGGAAAAACATACACAGAGAGTTACTTAAACCACCCATGTCTACACGCTACAGCATTAGGATTCAGAGCTAGACCAGCTGGTTCCAGAGCCCATGCTCCTTAAAGCACTTCAAAAATAAAGCCTCATAGTCCAAATAATTTATTTTCTGTGCTCTGTGAACTACAGCAGTAAACATACTTCAGGAGGAAATGTTATAAGGTAGACCAAAATACAAAGGAAAGACCCGGGTGAAAAAAAATATATGGTATTACCTCAGTTTCTTGAACAACTTATGCTATACGTATATGGGAGACAAAACTGATTTTTTTTTTTACATGCTACAAACTAGAGGGGATTTGCTAAACATTAACAATGGTCTTAAAATAATGTAAGACAAATACTTTTATTAAAAGAAAAGCATTACATTAAGCACTCTGGAAATGCCTATTTGCAAAAGTAGCTTAGCTTCAATAATTCAATGACAAACATTTTAGAGCACTCTACAAACCAGGTTACATGCTAGATACTGAGGGGTTACAACATAAAGATGAGTTTCGGCCCTCATAGAGCTTGCCAAATACTTAATAAATGAGGTATATGTTATATCTACCCAGCAGTTATATCTACCCTCTTTTAAAATGTAATTCAAAATTTCAGTCCATTCAGTCCATTCAGTCAAATGGACCCTTCTGCATAAATCTCTGAGGTCTGTGTTTCCACCGTTAAGTCCTAAACATCTCTTAGTGCAAATATTTGTTTTAACAGGTTGTCTGCTGGCTTTTAACTACAGCTGGGTCCTACAGTGTTGGGTCCCTGCTGCCACCAGGTCACCAAAGGGCAGAAACCCCAGAGCCAGCCTGGGCTTCTCCCTCAGCTAGTCTCTCACCAAATCCTGAGACTGTCAGCTTCTCAAAAATACCTCAACTCCTTCCTCCTCGCTTCACCTTTCTTAGTTCTGGCTTCATCAATTCTTATCAAGACTTCTGCAATGGACAAAATTTTCTGTTCCCTAAATAGAAACAAGTTTTTTTTGTTTTTGTTTTTTTGGTTTTCCTGATTATAATAGAAAAAGATCCTAGGTGATCTTTTCTATTGAAACTTTTCTCAGAGAATAAAGAAAGACATAAGGAAAATAAAGATGTCATCCGTCATTTTACCACCTAGAAATAACCACTATTAATGGGGTTTTTTCCCCCTAGACTTAGGGATCTTTTTTATCCTCAAACAAAATTGGCTCCTACTATACCTACTCTTTTGGGAACTTCTTTCACTTACACAACGTGCCACACGTATCTTTCTGGGTTGATAACCACAGCTCATCACTGCTGTTCAAGCAGCACAATACTTCACTGCCTGAGCTCATTGCACCAGCTGGAATGCCCCATTCTGGGCTGCCAGCATTACTCTGTGGAACTAACCGCCCTTCCTCTCCAGGCCATGCAATCTGTCCCTTAAAGGTGGTTGGACTGATGTCAGTCATGACCCCTGGACAACCCCGCCCCCACTCCCCATGCCTCCAAGGATAGGCACATAATCCAGAGCACGCTACCTGACCAAGACTCAGTTGAAAGGTAGATTTATGATCCCAGTCCCGCCAATCAGTTGGCCCAGGACTAGTCAGAGGTACTTTTGAAGTTAATGTCTTTCTGCTACAGTCACCAAGCTGGCAGGGTGGCAGTCGAGCTGCAGATGTCATCTGTGTGCCCATGTGAAGAGAGTCTGCCTGATAATGCCAATCCAGAGAAATACAAAGCCAAGATACGAAGAGAGTAAAGGTAAGGTACCCTCTAAGCCCTGAAGCCAGCTCTGCCTAAAGAGGGATTTAAGAATCCCCAGTGACAAGAGCCAACAAACCCTGTAATCAAGTCAATGTGACAGAAATCCAACCTCATCAACTCTAACACAAGACATTTAGGATGTTCCCAATTCCTGACTACCTATATCAACTGATATCATAGATCGTGACACCCGCGTAAACTCGGCAGTGCATTTCCAGGTGGTCTCAGTACCTTCAGCCTTGCCCCTTCCTCCCTTTCTCTCCGCTCTCTACCTCCAATCTATCCTCTGTTGCTTGACAAAGTATTCTTCGGAACAAATACGTGACTGTGGCAGTTTCCTGCTGAAAAGCTTCAA